CAACAGATACCATTAATTTAATATATTAGTTACCTTTCCCATAGAAAGCAATATGTCGAAACCTCTGAAGGAAAATCATGTTATGGAAATATAATGTGTGGAGTACCTTGTAACGAACGGGGGCAAGGGGGGCACATTTAAAATTAAAAAAAAAATATTAAAACCATAAAAAAACTACCTTTGGCCAAAACACGTGATCGTCTAGTTTAAAGAAATTAAATTAGGACCCCTTTTTGTTGTGAATACGGTTCTGGATACGTAAGTACTTGAGCAATTGAAAAGATATTTAAAAAGCGAAGAAAAAGTATTAACTTAAAATAAGTTTATTAAACTCAGGTCCTCATTCAATCAAAGTGGTTGCCTAAAAATAAAAATAACAAAAGCAGTAAGATCATAATATAAGAACAAAAAATTATCAAATCAAATGCCCAGTACTTTTTAAAAAGGTATCCTCCAGTCAGCAGCAACAATTTGTGCTGAAAAGCACAGCAAATTTTGTAGTAACCCAGACAAAGAAGATATTAAGAAGCCTGAAAAGTAGAATAAGGATAGGTTAAGCCTAAAATCAAACATTATAGTAACATCAACCGATGTTTAACTACATACCACCAAAATTAGTTACATCAAATGATGATTAACTACAGTTGCTTCAAAAAGTAAAAACACAATGTTTACCTAAAACAAAGAACTGTCTTCATAGAAGATCCAGCTGCGTCCCTGGTTCATCAGTCAGCTGCCACCATAAGTGATTCAGCTACGCTTTTGGTAAGTTACCTCCGATGATGTTGCGAAGCTAGCTTCAAAAGAAGATTTAGCTACAGTTAAAGAATTTGCTGAAATTTACAAGGAGCAAAAAAGAATACAATTAAGCAGCTGGCTTCAAGGAAGATTCAGCTTATAATACTAAATACTGACTTCACGAAGATTCAGCCGAACTCAACAATTTAGTATTTTACTAACCTGAAAAAAATAGAAAACAAGATATATAAAATTATTTCGCCTCACTGTGCGAAAACCATAAATCTGTCAATAGGACCATAATCAACCCATATCACCAATTTGGCGAAACAAGGGATACACAAAAAGAACTTTTACCTCCCTTGACATCTGGTAACAATTGTGGGGACAAAGAATATAAAATACAAATAAAAATAAATAGAGAAACTTCTGGTCACCTAACATTAAGTGACAGGGACAGAAATACACACATGCAAACTCAATGTACAAAACCAAGTTCTGGTTGAAATGACAAAAACAAAAAGTAACAAACAACCAAAAAAAATTAAGATAAAATAAATCTGGTCGTTCGACATCAAATAGTAACGAATTCAGGTAAACAAACAAACAATATTTAAAAAAAATATTATTTTATATTAATTAAAAATGAATTATGAAGAACAAAAAACAATATTTGGTCAAACAAATCCTGGTCACGGCACCAATTTGTAACGAACTGGGGCAAGGGGGGCACATTTAAAATTAAAAAAAATATATTAAAACCATAAAAAAACTACCTTTGGCCAAAACACGTGATCGTCTAGTTTAAAGAAATTAAATTAGGACCCCTTTTTGTTGTAAATACGGTTCTGGATACGTAAGTACTTGAGCAATTGAAAAGATATTTAAAAAGCGAAGAAAAAGTATTAACTTAAAATAAGTTTATTAATAAAAACAATTAATACAAGAGTTAATATTATTGCTACTGTATATTAATAATATAAATAAAAACGTTTGTATTTGAAAAGTATCATTGATTTAAGTTAATAAGGTAAAACCTTATTAACCCACATATACAATCCAGACATGCATATGTGTCGCACATCTAAACAATATAAATAATATAACAAAATCAAAGTAATCAAATATAATATCATCAATCACATTATCATATTGTTAAGATTATTCACCTACATAAATGTTAGGCTCGGACGGTGTTTAAATAGAAAATACAAATTGAAACTATTATCAATGTACAGCAACAAACAAAAACAATGTGTAAAATAAAATAGCATGTAACTTAAGTCACAGAGAACATAATAAATAGTAGTGGTAAATAAAATATATAAATAACAAGTGTTGTTGCGGTGGACAACCGTAATGCAATAAAATTTGTGTTCAGTCATAAATAATAAATACATTTAGATGTATAAGTTATACAGTATAACGTCATAAAAATATCAATAAAACAGTTTAAGTTCGTAAAATATAAAATATAATAGTTTGGAGAATAGTAGCGTAAAATAATGATCAAAGTAAATAAAAACTGAGACTATGAGACAAAACTTAGCCCTAACTCAATTCACTTTCGTACGGACCTCGTATACTCGTGCACATGCACATGCCTCTTTCATTACATTATATGTGTATGTGATATGTTCATACTTCATAGCTAAATTGGCCAACGACAAGATAATAAAACATATTTTGTCAATAAATTAAGGGGCTAAGACTCAGCGCACATCATAGTGTCTACTCCCTTAGTAGGTACCCAAAGATCAATTAACAAAATTAAATAAATAGCAAGATCGCGAAACACACAACGAAATAAATGTATTTTACATCCTAGGACCAACCATACATGGCTCAGGATTGACAAGTCTCAACATATTAAATAAAGAATATCAATCAATTTATCAAATAAACAAAATAATGTAAACTGTACAAAACAAAGTAAGTAAAAGTTAAATAGAAATATGTAATAACATGATACATTGCATTACAATAAAACAATAATAAAATGTAAATATTTAAAATAGTAAACATAAAATAATAAGTATAATAAATACGTTATTAAGTTTGTCCAACCGCAACTCAAAATATAAAAAGTTTAGTGTGTTTCTTTTCTTCTTCAAAGAAAAGATAAGTTAAAATAAAAAAATATAGTTTAAATTAAATATGAATTAACCACTTATTATGATATTTGTGACTTTAAGTTATTTTAATTAATTATAGAAAAGACATACCTATATAAATAAACAACACTTTCACAAAACTGAATTTATATAAAATCAATGGATAAAGTACAGTCCGTTCAGGCTAAGTTGAGCGCTTTGGCGGGGGAAATGTTGCCTTTGATTAAATTAAATATCGAAACGTCGCGAGATTTCGGTAACAAGAAGATGATTTATCAATGCCGCGACTTGCCGTTTGTTCGTACAGAGCGGCTACCAAAATAAATGTATTTAATTGTGCCTGAACATAGAGATGATGGACAGGGTGACATTCCTTAGACCGCTCAACTTAGCCTGAACGGACAGTAAATAACTCCTCTCCTCAAATACCAAAACCCAACTCCCTTATAAAATTAAAGAATTCAACTCGTCCCTTCCAAGAGTAAAACGTAACTGCCTAAAATATACTGCCCTCTCTAAGTTTTTAACACGCTCTTTTTATGTTTATTTTTTAAGACTAGGAACAAAGAACCAATACTTGCTTATTGGGTCTTTCTGTCTCGAACCCTCAAGTGGCCGGCCAGATGGGACTAAATTATTATTGTATAATAAACAAAATAAAGAATGTATCGAATTCTAAAGTGAAACTTATACCTAACACCTAATACAATTTTAAAACAAATATTTAAAATTTAATCTCCTATTTTGTAAAGCTTTAAAATAAATTAAGAAATGTTAAAAATTAACTGCCCCATATATCGTGCCCATTACAACCTCAAGGTTCGATTTTGGATCCCCTATTATTTTCATTATATACCAATAATATCACATCCTGTTTGCACTATTGCACTCCCTATTTATATGCTGATTCCTTCAGACTTAAAAATTGCTGAAAGAAATATAAATAATGATTTATCCAAATTATTTGCCGAGTCCATAAGACATAATTTAAGTATAAACCATACAAAAACAGCTATTATAATTTTTGGCCAATTAAAGCTTACTGTAAAAGATAATATAAACATCGTTTTAAATATTACAATTTTAGAATTTTCAAATGAAGTTAAAAATCTAGGAATTATTTTGGACACCGATTTAAGATTTAAAACGTATGTAAATAAATGCTTACGAAAGTCATATCTCGGTCTCAAAAACATATATCCCCATAGACATTTACTTAAAAAAAAATGGAATTATTTTGACAGATTCATTGGTCCTCTCTCATTTTAATTTTTGTGATTGTGTGTATACGAGGAAAAAATGCAAAGGGTTCAAAAGTCTTGCTTAGGATTTATTTATAGCATCAGACGAGGATGTCCTGTGTCTTATAAATTAAAAGAAACAAAATGGCTTAACATGGCTGATAGAAGAAAACTTCACAACCTATGCTTGTTTCATAAAATTATAATTAATAACTTTCCATGGTACCTTAGGAATAAAATCAGGTTAAGATCAGATGCTCATAATCTAGGCCTTAGATTAAAAGGTCTTATTTCTCCCCATCCACATAAAACTGCAATATATCAAAGATCGTTTTCTTACAATATATACATTTTATATAATTAAGTGCCAAGAGACTTAAAGAGCTTAAAGCCACTTAACTTTAAAAGTAAGTACAAGGCCTACCTACTCAAATAATTTTTTGTTGTTTTCTTTTTTTTTTATTTAACCATTTTGCATTCTTTTGTTAGGTTAGATTTGATCTAGTTTAGGTTTGTTTAGGTTTTGGTTTGGTTTTAGGTTTAGTTTAGGTTTAGTTTTAGGGATTTTAGGTTAGTTTTATGGCTGAAACTAGATCAGCAGTCTCAGACGTGTTGTTTTTCGGTCATTTTCACTTATATGAATAAGAAATACTCTTTTCTTCTTTTTTCTATAATATGTGTCTTGCAAAGGTATACCAATCAATTTAGAGAGTTTCTATTATTATTTGGCGTTATACTGAGTTACCACCTTTAATTATGTAATCAATAAATTTAGAAAAAAATGTATAAGAATCCTTTAACATAAATTAAATCTCTATAAACTGTTTTATATTTTCAGAGACTAGAGCACTTCTATCCTCGATGTTGAGGGGGTTAGGTGGTTTCTTAAAGAAACTAAAAAAATTGAATGTTTATTTTGAAATTGTTTTTCCAGAAGATTTGCGAAGACTTCTGCTTTTCCTCGGATGCGTACATGGTGCCGTTTGTTCCAGACAATGGAGAGATGGATTTTGGGTTCTTTGGTTATCTTTCTTACCACGTTCTATATGTTGTTATGGTGAGGGAAAAGATTCAACCGGGTCTTCTTCCATCTGTCGCTCTTTAATTGGTCGATCTCATTCTTGACCAGTCTTTTGCGTCTATTTGTATGTATGTATCGCGCCTAGGGTGCGTTGGGCCGGCTTCATGGCTCTTTCAGCTCCCTGATCCTTCTTGGGTTGTTGTAAGAGTCGGAGACCGACACGTCTCTTGTTGATGTCTCGAGAGGGTCCTTGATGTCCCGCTGCAGGTGTACAATTGCTGACTCTAGGTGTTCCAGTCGGTTGTGTGGTTTAGAGTAGAAAATATTGTCTTGCGACTGTCTTTGTGTATTAAGAAATCAGTTCCCACTGTTATCAGTAGTGGATTATAGTCAGATGACAGTTCCTGTAGTAAGAAGGCTTATGACATGACGTGGAGGTATGAAATTTTGGTATCCCCTTACGGGTGGGAATACCGCAGCATAATGCCACTTTTTGTCACTTGTTATTATCGTCCTTTTAAAGTAAGCGTTTTTTTGTCTCAGTATGGGTGAGTCAATTTCTAGTTGGCGCTCTTTGGAGAACGGGGTTCCTTAAGGTTCCACCTTGAGTGTAACTCTGTTTGCAATAGCGATTAATTCTGTCTGTGATAATGTGTACTGTACTATATACAGGGTGTTTCACAACTTATCAAAAAAAAATTTCACCACAAATGCTCCTTTTAATATTAAGTCGATTTATTTAAAAAATCGAATAAAAATTCAAAAGAAAACGAGATAAAAATGTTAGTAACAAGAATTTAAAAAAAAATTAAATAACTTAGGCAAAAAATGTATCCACATATGCATTTTTAAGTAATACAATAACCTCTTTACAAAAATTGTAATAAAATTTATCAGTCAACTATAAAAAATATTAAAATGACAAGAAGTAAAAAAGTAATTTCTTAGCAAAAATTGTAATAAAAGTTTATCAGACAATGAGATATAAAAAGTAAAATAAAAAATAGACAATTTATTAGATTTTTTTTATAAATCACTTTTATATTTAAAGGAGCATTATGATATATGTGGTAAATTTTTTTTATAAAAGTTGTGAAACACCCTGTATGTCTATGAAATCGCTGTTTTTTTGTCAGGATAATTTAAATAATATTGTCCCAATCATAGATATTTTGGGTTGTAAAATCTAAGTTGTTAAGTTTGCATGTGTACAATATAATATATTATACTTTCCCCCTCAAGTAAGCTTTGCTGAATTTGAGTCATTTTTTGAAATATTTGAATCTACTGTTGTTAATGTGGTTATACTGGGGGATTTCAATGCATCTAATTACCATGTGATGTAACTAGGGAGTTCTTGCCTATTGTACACAAAGATTAGTAACACCCGGCTTTACTAATTACTAAAAGTTGTTAAGTTTGATGTGCACAATATAATATAGTATTATACATTCCCACTTAAGTAAGCTTTGCTGAATTTGAGTCATTTTTTGAAATATTTAAGTCTACTGTTGTTATTGTGGTAAATGTGGTTATTTATACTGGGGGATTTCAATGCATCTAATTACCATGTGATGTAACTAGGGAGTTCTTGCCTATTGTACCTAAAGATAAGTAACACCCGGCTTTACTAATTACTAAAAGTTGTTAAGTTTGATGTGCACAATATAATATATTATACATTCCTCCTTAAGTAAGCTTTGCTGAATTTGAGTCATTTTTTTGAAATATTTAAGTCTACTGTTGTTAATGTGGTAAATGTGGTTATACTGGGGGATTTTAATGCATCTAATTACCATGTGATCAGGATAATTTAAATAATATTGTCCCAATCATAGATATTTTGGGTTGTAAAATCTAAGTTGTTAAGTTTGCATGTGTACAATATAATATATTATACATTCCCCCTCAAGTAAGCTTTGCTAAATTTTAGTAATTTTTGAAATATTTGAATCTACTGTTGTTAATGTTGTAAATGTGGTTATACTGGGGGATTTCAATGCATCTAATTACCATGTGATGTAACTAGGGAGTTATTGCCTATTGTACCTAAAGATAAATAACACCCGGCTTTACTAATTACTAAAAGTTGTTAAGTTTGATGTGCACAATATAATATATTATACATTCCCCCTTAAGTAAGCTTTGCTGAATTTGAGTAATTTTTTGAAAGATTTAAGTCTACTGTTGTTAATGTGGTAAATGTGGTTATACTGGGGGATTTTAATGCATCTAATTACCATGTGATGTAACTATGGAGTTCTTGCCTATTGTACCTAAAGATGAGGAACACCCCGCCTTACTAATTAGTATTGAATTGGGCTTATGTTGTCACATTCTTGGCAGTCCATTCGACTAAGAAATCCTAAGAGGAAAAGTAGTATTATCAAGCAAATGTGCATTTTGAATTGAATCAGAACTTGAGTATTATTTGATTTCCTTTTGTTTATTACTTTGTGGGATATGTTATAAGAGTTTACCTTTGTTTATTTGTTGCAGAACATACTACTATTATTTTGCGTATTTTAACTGTTAAATTTGTCAGGCCATTGAGGTCACCTATAAAAGAATACGTTTTATTATTGCCTTTGAGATAGCTATGGATAAGTAAATGATTAGTTAGGATAGTAAATATTCAAGTTACTTACCACTTTTTATAAAACACATTTAGAAGTGTAAAGGCTTTGATATCAGAACTTAACTGATTTTCTGACCACTCGCCTTCATAAATTTTAATTCTAACTACTGGAACAACCTGCGCTTCAATCCAATTTCAAATCTATCATGTGGAAGAACTTTTGTCACCTTATACGGGCCTTTGAATTTAGGAGCCAATTTACTGGGCCTAGGATTTTGTTGTTGAACCACTACAAAGTCTCCTGTTTGAATATCTTTGGGTGCACATCTTTTAACATCAAACGCAGCTTTTTGGTCGTTAGCGTTTTTCTTTAGTCTATCGTATGCCAATTGTCTGTCTTCTAATAGGTTAATAGGATTATTCTGCTTTTCCATATTCGTAACTAATTGTACACTGGGAGAGTTAGCATCAACCCCGATTAAAAGTCTTAGTGGTACCCATTGATTTTTGAATAGTGGTGTTCAGTGTTAACTGGATTTTGGGTAAAACACTCGTCCATTCTGACCCATTCCTTGTTTCAACTGCTAACAATGACGACACAGTACCAACATAGCATTCAACTTGACCATTGGCTCTAGATCCTCCAGTAGCAATCAAATGGTGTTCTATGTTTAACTTCTTTAACATGGATTGTGTTTTGGAGTCGGTAAAATTTGTTCCTCGGTCCGTTATTAGTAGCAAAGGTATGCCAAACAGTGTTATGGTATTCTCGAGAACTTTACAAGTTTCCTCTCCCGTTAAGGATTTCAATGGTAGCAACAGTAAGTATTTAGTAAAACCGTCAACTAGAAGAAGTAAGTGTTTAAAACCTCGTGCGTCGGCTGCGAAAGATCCTACACAGTTAGCATGCACAGTATGAAAAGGTAAGCCAGTTTTATCAATTGGATGGAGGTAACCATGTTTTCTACCACTTTGACGTTTAATATAAGACAGGTTATATTTTTTAGTAAACTTCGTTAATTTTGGGAACCAAAATGTTTCAAAAATTTTCTTAGTGGTTTTTTCCAATCCAACATGGCACTGCTCGTCATGATATATTCTAAGAAGTCCTCATCGGCTTCCTTTTGGCACGTACAATTTTAAGTGCACTTGGCCATCCGCAGTTTTTATTTTTTGATAAAGAAGAGACTTTTTCACCTCATAGTCACTACCAACCGTATCGCCACTGCGTGTTCTCTAAATTAGATCTTGTGTTTCAGCATCTTTAGATTGTGCAGCTTCCAACCATGACTCTGAATTGATCGTCATTACTTGTGGATTCCTACTTAAAAAGTCGACGTGTGGAACGTATTTGCCTTTCCTGTACTCGACGGAAAATTGGAAATCTTGTAAAGTCCACCATCTGGCTACACGGGGAATTTAGTCCTTTTTATTCATTGTAGATTTAATTGAATTGCAGTCCGTGACGATTTTAAATGTAATCCCCAGGAGATAGTGCTGAAAATATTTGACGGCTTGTACAATTGCAAGCGTTTCCAGTTCATAAGATGAATACCTACTTTCGGCAGGCGTGGTGCGGCGGCTAAAATAGGACACGACTCGTAAGCCTTCATTATGGCGTTGAAATAGTATTGCACCATAACCTATGGAGCTCGCGTCAGTGTGAAGCTCCGTACTTAACTGTGGGTCAAAAACTTGTAATAGTTGTTTCTCGGCAAGAAAATTAATTAAGTAGGTTCGGGCTTCATCATGTTCGGATGTCCAAATAAATTTTTCATTCTGTTTTGTCAATTTTGTGAGACAGGCGGTTTTGGCTGCATATTCAGGCACGAATTTTCTGAAGTAATTGGCGAGACCCAAAAATTGTCTTAGTTGCTTCACATTGGTGGGTATCGGCGAGTTGATAAGAGCCCCAGTTTTCTCGGTTCCAGGTCGTATACCGTCTGACGATATGTGGCGTCCAAGATATTCTAGGGAGGATTAAAAAAACCTACATTTTGCTATATTAAGGCTAAATCCAGCGCAATCCAATGAAGACAGTACTTGATCTAACTTATTTAACCCTTCTTTTACAGTGGACGATGGTATGAGAATGTCATCCAAGTACAATAAAATTCCCTCATACTTTAAAGGACCAAGGGAATTATTTACTGCTCTCTGAAATACAGATGGGGCATTTGCCAGCCCAAAGGGCATTCGCAGATACTTGAACTGCCCGTCTGAAGTAACGAATGCTGTTTTTGGAATGGATTCTTCGGCTATCGGTATTTGGTAAAAGCCCGAGGCCATGTCTAAAGTGTCTAAATATTTGGCATTGCCAAGCTTGTCCATTTGATCTTCTATCAGTGGTAAAGGGAATTTATCTTTTATATTTTATATTTATATTTTATATATATATATATATATATTATATATATATATAT